TGTTGTTTTGTCATTTGCTTCCATGTTTCATTGTTTTTTTTGCAAGAGAAAAACAACAGACTCTGCCTTTATAACTTGTCACTCCAAACAGAAAGTCCAGCTGAAGGTGTGTACAGGCAATATGGGAACCTGGTCCAGCTATTTCGTCAAAATTCTAGCAGTGAATCTGATTGCTTGCTCCGCGTCGGCAACTAACACCAGTTCCCCAACCTGGCACTACTACAATAATGCCACAGGAGACTGTGAGTGTGGATTCAAGCTTGGCTGTAGCATCGATGGCAACCTGGCATTCATTGACCATGGTACATGCGCAACATCTTCAAGTCAGGAAGGTTACTACTATGTTGGCCGTGTCCATTCAGAAATACTGTCAACAGTATAAATAGAATGTACTCAGAGATGCCCACGAATGTTAGTCAGTTGGATGAGGTAATGTGTGGTCCTTACAACAGAAGAGTTTGCTGTGTGGGGAGTGTAAGGATGGTACGGTCCTGCTGTTAATTCATTTGATCTGAAATGTGCTAATGGTTCAACGATTCGGTCAGGATATGCCCATTACTCTATATCTGCTTCTTCAATTTGTTCCAACGATCATAATTTTTGTATGTTCTGTTGTGTTTCACTTCAACATTACCTCAGGCCAAGGTTGGGATACATCTTTTTTCTGTCAGACGGTGGTAACAGGCATGAATTACAGAAATGTGTTTACGACTACATACAATCACACGGGCCTTCTTTTCTGGGTGTTCTGTTTCGCTTTTCAGTGACTTTAACTCACTTTTGGAGCCTGCAATTCCTTACAGCTGCGTTACCACCATTTTGTATCAGTGATAAACTAACCGACCTTCATGTCCACATGCTCAATTTTGTACCAGCTGTCTACTCACTTTTTCTCTTCTTCATCTCTTGTACTCTCATGGAACTGCATGCAAGAAACTATAGAATTGTTAAAACTGTGCTGAAGCCCTTAGGAGCATTCTCAGTAGACTAAAACCACAGAAATGGCTAGTGTCTGTGTCTTTCAAGCTTAGCGTCACTTATCTTCTCTCGGGTAATTCTGCGTTGTCTGCTATATCTCAAATACGCGGAATGGCAAGATTGTATAACTCCATTGGAATTTTTCAAAAAGAAGTTCTTTACATTGCTCCAACAGTAGACTGGCCTAGTTACCAGTCCGTCACTTACGGACTTATTGTTGCAGTTACTTTCATATCAGTCTCAGTGATTCCCTCTGTTCTTCTCTGCATATACCCAACAAGGGTGTACCGATATCTGTCAAGGTTTCTGAGTGCCAGGAAGCGACTAGCCATCACAGCATTTGCTGAGGCTCTCCACAGCTGTTTCAAAGATGGTCTCAATGGAACTCGCGACTACAGAGCACTGGCAGGAGCACCCGTATTTGTTCTCTTGGCGTTCAATGTAGTCCATCATCTTCTTGGACTCATTCATTATCCATACTTCATTCCAGCAGAAGTCACGTGCATAATGCTAGCATGTATAGTCTCATACATTAAGCCCTGCAGATCAGCGGTTGCAAACTTCTCCCTCGGTGTTTATATCACCTTTTGTGGAATTCTGACAATATTTGTGGAGAAATGAACTGTCTGTTGGAACCGACACACTTGAACTGACAATTATTGCCACTCTTCTTACACCACACATTCTGGTGGCTCTGTGGGCTGGCTATACCTTGACCAAACACACACTGACAAGGTTTGGATGTCAGTTCCATGGCCCTGGTTGCAAGGAGGCATTGAGTGACATGGCAAATGGTGTGAGACTGTGTCTCTCCAGAAGGCGCAGGGGATATCAGGAGATACCGTGACGCAGGAAAGACTGTGACTTTTATTGACACGTGTGTGTAATTTATACTACACATTGTTTTTAGTGTTATACGTACAATAATTAGACCAGAGAAGAATTAAATTAAAGGATGCCAGCTAAATTAAATTGTAACTAGTTGGCTACAGCTGGCAGAAAAGTCAGCAACCAGCTCATACCCAGTGACATTAATAAAAGAATTACCACCATACGTACATGTAGTATGACGTGCACCAGTGATTTTGCACACCACTTTGTTTTAACTCAACCATGTTGTTTTTGTTTTGTATTTATGGTGGCCTCAAGCAGACTGCCCCGTGATTGTGGTTCAGGACGAATGCGCATGTGTAATTGTATGTCTAATAATTACGTACATAGTATGAATTTACACATTACCGTGGGGTTTTGTGAAGACTTGTTTACTCTCGGTGTGTACAATGTGCAGCAAGTGCCAGAGAAGCAATGCTGCTCGTATTATATACTGTATATACTGTATATATATTTCATAAGCACATTAGACAGGTAATACCATCTGCTCGGTTTTCAGTTGTGACTGCATTGTGTGGAGTGACTTCTACATTTGCTCAACTAACCAGTTTTACAATGCTGAGTTCTTGGCGATCTACATACAGAATCCTTTCACCATTGTCCTTGCACTTCACTTGTCCCACTTCACTAAACTAACAGTAAAGGTGGCGACAATATAGGGCTTGTGTGAAGAAAATTTAGCTATACCGGGATTCCAACGATAAGTTTTCCATTCCCCTGGAGATCTATGATAATTAGGACGATGGCGATGGCTTCCGCGATATGCCGATACTCATTACAATAAGCCAGGCTGCAGAACCTTGCGTGGAGAGAATGAGCGCCTGGAGCTCCGCAACATCCTCAAAAATACCTGTCGTTGGACCTGAAAAATGTGCAAAAGTATAAACATGTCGGCGATCGGTGAATGGCGTAGCTACGTACCATCGTAATCCCGAACTCTCCGAAGTCCTTCATTGTTGTTAATAACTCCAATGGTTGCAATAAGGAGAACAACTGCTAGTACCTACAAGAAGATGCCGCAATATCCCGCGCACGAACGAAAATTGTAGCTAACTTACAATTGCTCCCGTACGAGGCAAAACAGCGACGATGTTTACTGTCATTGACTATATATATTTTTTCTCTTTTGCCTGCTGCAAGCTCTTTTCTGAAAAAAAAAGAACGTAGTCTCGGCGCTCTTTTATCTTGCGCACACACGACGACGCGACCCCTCCACAATTTTTCCGCGCATGCGTATCACATTTTTTAGCAGCGCAGGCGCAGTTAGCATGTAGATCAGCGGCCGGCCGAGAGGGCTCTATATAGACGCCTGCATAATTATCGTTACGTAATATTTGCGCATGCGCGCACTTTTTGTCACGCATGGTCGGTCAAGCTGTGGGAACTGTGTCACTGTATAGTATTGCAACAGCTTTTATCTACCGATTGTTCCTATGACGGCTGATGACATTGGCAGCAGGCTAAAAAAACATTTCACTACTCGAATAGGAAGGCGAAGAAATCTAGGCTCAGTAGATTCCCCTCGCTGCAAACTGCAATAGCATGCGCAAAAATGACCGCGGCTCTCGACTGTTCTCGACATCCCCCAGTCACTCTAAGAAACCTAAGTCCTAGTCTCTAATATCATTAGTGTGAGATATGCATCATAGCTATCAAAAGTTTTTGCCAGGCAGTCTGCAGGATAACATCAACCAGAGGACGGGTGTTTGTAAAGATATTGAAGGTGTCCTCACATTTTTCTGGCTACACGTGAGGTGAAGCTGCCAGATTGGAATAGATGGATGCCGAACTCTACTCTAGTCAATATGATCGCACTGGCAGTAGATTAACTCTGAGGTCCTTGTCTGTAAAATAGACACATTGGCCAATATGTACAGCCAAATGACTGAGAGCTTCTGTGTGAAATGCAAATGTCTCGAAGTTGGGTGCCCACGTTGTTGGTAAAATGAGTCCTATATAATATATACACAGATAGTTCCTAGCTGCATTAACTAATGCATGGTTTTTGCTATGTTTTTCTTTCTGGTACATTGCTTACTGCGGGGCCCTTCAATTTACTGAGACAATGAGGCGGTGGTGGGTGGACTGATGTTTGTATAAGAGCTGCAGTTTGAAGCAGTGTTTCACTAATGTATATTTTTCATTCACAGAGAAAATGTGGCTCTTACTCTTAATTCCCTGGCTCTTATACTGAAACGGACATTGCTTTCACACTGGTTGGGCAAGTTTTAAGCTGAGATTCAAGATGAGTGTAATCCCTGCTAGTATATAGTTGGGAGCACATTGCCTGGGCACAGAGTCCAAAAAATGAATAGTAAAGCTGACGATATGCAGCAGTTAGTGCAGCTGAATTGTATGCCTAAATGCAGTGCCTTTCAAAAGTATTATGCGTGCAGGCCTCTTTGCACCACCTGGAGCAGTTTCTCACCCATAAACAGTGTGCGAGTTCCATAATATGAGCACATAGTGCATTAGTATAGCTATATGTATATTATATTAGGTGCAGATTTTTTAGCTTGTGCTGATTAAAAAATATGATGTTACCAACATTTCTATACTGCTTTCATACAGGCTAATAATGATTCAGGATCAAAATCTAACATGAAGTTCTACCTAGTAGCTAAGATAATCCTACAGTTCTAGTCTCTTTTCGGCATTTTCCTCAGGCTTTTGACTCAGATCTGCTCCTCACGATTCCAAGTATTGTCAACACAACAATGACCCCAAACACTCCGATTTGGATGAAGCAAAATACCTAGAAATTCTAGAAATGTATAAATTTGAATGCAAAGTGTTGCAGTTATCTTTACGAGGCATAGCGCGTCCGCTCCACGACTCGTAGCCGCAGGGAATAACTAGACCTCGCACAAACCTACAGCTTGCAATGCAGTTGTTGCAGCAAGAGGGATTGTATCACAAGTATTTCCCGCATAATTATCATCTCAAAACGAGCCCCACTCAGCGGCATACACGGCACAGGCAATTCCAGTTCCGAAGTAGGATAGAATAACACAACCACTGAAGATAACCTCCTGTGTTGAGAATAGATCTGAATGAAAATTATGAACATTCGTGTATTACCAGGATCTCGACGATAAGTTTTACTTTTGGCTGGATATTTATGATAATTACGATGGCGGCGACCTCCGCGATATAACGATGACGATACTCTTTGCAATGAACCAGCCCGTAGAATCTTGGGTGGCGAGAATGAGCGCCTTCTGGGCTGCAAGTGGACCTGTCGTTGGACCTGCAAAATGTGTAACTAAAATGTATAGCTGTTGGCGATCGAATGTATGGGCTACCGTCGTAATCCCGAATAAACCGAATGCTGTCAATGCTGTTAATGAGTCCGACGGTCGCGGCAGGCACCATGAGGAACACAACTGCAAGTCCCTGCAAGATGCGCAATCGCATGCGCGCGCGAAGTAATCAAGAAAGCTGTCAACTTACAATTGCTCCCGCACGAGGCAAAACGGCGACGATGTTTACTGCCATTGACTATTGTTTCCTCTTTAATTTGGCCTGGTGGGTTGCAAGTTATCTTCAGTGAAAAAATAAAATTCGCCGCTCTTTTATGTCGCCCATGCCCAGGACACAACCTCGCGTCGCCCCCCCCGCCCTTTCATTATCCGCCGTCGTTTTAGTGCGCATGCGTAAAAGCGGTAAGATGACAAGTTGGAGCCTTCGCGATGTCGTCGGTGCGTCGCCACTTGGTCACGTGCCGGTAGAAGTATAACTAGTAGGCGAATGCATGGCATTTTTGGCGAGCGGAAGCGCGCTTACAATTGGGGTCTAATCGTATGAGTCACTCTTGTGTGTGCACAAAACAGTGAGATACATTGCACAGGACCAAGTAGGCCGCAACGACCCGAGCGCAGTAGACAATTCGAGTCGAGTCAAAAACAGTCAGTCGACAGCGCGAATCAGGCATAATCCGGCAATCTGATTGGTCTTGCAGGAATAGGGAACAAGTGGCAATGTAGAAAAATCTCTCGCTGGACTGTGCAGCAATACTCGATAGCTTCGGAGGTGTTGCGTTTCCCCTGATTCCGCTCGATTCAGGCAGCATTATGAAAATGTTGAAATCCCTTTCGGTTAAAAAGAAGCGCGTAATGCTGGAGCATGCGCAGTTGGACGACGTACGGGTACATATATAATTATATATATATTATATAGAAAAATCGCGCCGTTCGGACCACTAGGTTAGCTCGCTTCCGCTCGCCAATTATAGCTAAGAGCGCTCGCTCCGCTCACCCACCATTACATCAAAATTCGCGTCGACAGGTTGGAAGTTGAGTCTAGGCCTCTTGGAGTCCAGTATAATTATACAGTCTCTGTGTATAGCGAACTAGCTATCTTGATTTATCATCATTACTCTAGTCACACAAAAAGTAAGATTTTACAGACTGAATGTTGGTAGTAGACTTCTACATGACATCATAGTGCAGACGGTAGCTATTATTGTACTGAATTAAGGATAGATCTTTTCTAATCTTGGCTTGTGTGTGCATGCAGTCTGCCTGGTCGAGGTACAGAATCACATGAGGTGTACAGAACATACATAACAACTGTGCCCCCATGCTCATCCTGTTGGTTCAACAATCAGGAAGTGTTCCACCGCCGCCTGCAGCGCTAACGATGTTGACCCGTCGCGTCTCCAGCCGCGTTCCGCCGACCTGGATCTCGGCTTCCACGCGCAGCACACGGAACTGGTAGGGTTCCTCTCTCCGGCTGCGAGCGAGCTGAGACGAAGGAACGACTCTGTAGCGCTCGCCATAGTCCGAACTTTCGTTCGCTCCCATAATTTGCCGACACACAACACCCAAAGCCTCTAGCGTAAAATACCTAAGTATATAGCTAGGGAATTACCCGGCGAATTTTCGCTCACAAGGATCTATATAGGACGTCGCGCCGCGGCGGAAGCCAGATGTAGAGCCGCGTTCCCCAGGCTCTTTAATTTGTGAAAGGTCTGGGCACCAGACTAGCTGCGTGGCTGTCCCCGAGCGAGCGCTATGTCGACGGCTACTGCGATCGGAGTGTGGTTCAGCATAATAATACTGGCGTTTCCGTGTTCCCCGGGCGCGGCGCAGCTTGACCTGAGGACGTGTGGTGACGAAAACTCGGTCGTAACCTGCTCCTTCTTCTTCGGAAAAGTCAACGAAGCCTTTCGACAGAGAAATGTCTTGTATACGCTTCGCAAGGCGTTCTTCCCGTCTGAGGGTAACCTTTCGCCTCTCTTCGTGGTGGCGATGACTCTTGACGTGGAAAATGTCACCAGGATCGCCTGCAAGGATAAAAATTACGAGTTTGGTAACAGTTCCGTAGACTCTCCGCCGAGCATGGACGAGGTGTGCAGTATTTACGACTGCGGCCCGCTGACACTCGGCTGGAGACATCAGTGGAGCAAGACCGTCATTTCCTACATAATCAAGCGTGAAGATCTGGACCTACTGAAGAACACCAGTTTCAACGCCTTCGCCGCAGCCGCTTTCAGCACTTTTGATGCCGTCATAGACCACTTGGGAAAGCTGCGAGTTAACGGTACCACCAACATAAGCAGCCTCGGCGCGACGAGAGACGACACGGTTCAGTTGCATCTTATCATCCCAGAGCTGCCTTGTCGACCGGATAATGGTGTATTGCTGGACGCCTGGGAGGACATCTTGCCCTGGGTAAGCCCGTCTTTAACAATACAGATACTCTGAAACCAGTAAACAATGAAAAGCACTAAAGTGCAAACCCTCGGCGTACTGCGCATGCGCGGTGCCACTAATTGATGGGCTGGGCTTTTCTTTTCTTTACTCGTTGTATCGCGCTAGTAGCTCGCGGAGAGTCTGGCACGGGCTAGCTACAGTAGTAGATTGCATGCGGGAGTCGATACATGCCCTTCGTTGTGACTTCTTGTGCCTTCAAGATACACAGAGCGCGCGGACGCAGTCGAGGTAAGCCTGTGCTAATTACCATATTGGCTTGTTCACTTGGTTTTCACGCCATAACTTTAAAACACAGTCGTTTTACGAAAATCGCCTTTTTTAAAATCAACCCAGTGTAGCACTGAACCCGATCATATCGTTATTTACCTGATTTAGTGCGCGCGGTGGCAGAAAACGTGGTAACAGACAGACAGACTGACTGACACACTTACGGGTACTACCGTAACCCTCACTGCGCATGCGCGCCGAGGGTTAATAATAGCACAACTGTTGCTTGATAAATCTTCATTTTTTGTGCAGAAATTTTCTTGGGAAAAAAGTTGGTCAGTAGCTACACCTGTCAGTAAAAGTAGACGTACATGTATACGGTAGGGATGAGCATAGTGTAATCGGGCACATAAAAACATGGGTGCCTCTTTTTAACAGAAATCAACATGTTTTCATGCTTGGGGGGTGAAAGAGAAAGTAGTTTTACTAGGGGTAGATTTACCTAACTTGGCATGGCTACTCTTTGAAACTACTAGAGTAGCTCATCAAAGGTCGGACACCGACCTTTCATGAGCTACTCTATACACTCTATGAGTGTCAAAACTTTAGAGTTTGGAATCGTACAGCTATATGCATAGCATGTGCATTGCCACTGCTCCATAAGCTACTGGATTGGAGTTTGCAGATGGGAAAGTTTTGCATCAAAGAGTTTTTACTACCATGCTTATTGTAATTTTACAGTTGCAGCTCTATGCCCAGAACTCAGACAACCTGGAGTTGGAGGATGTTGAGTACTCTCACGAAGACAGAGGGTTTGCATTCCGCGAGGAGAGAGGAGGCAATCGCAGCCGGCTAACCTTGTCCTTGCTGACAGTCATGAACGTCCTTATGAACATTGTCTTTGCTCTGGCGGCCACGTACTTTCTCCACAAGTACCACGGCTACCTAGGTGAACTGCAGTGTGGAAAGAAGTACCAGCTAGTGGCCAGTATGTACTGGTCAGTTGTGTTCCTGTGCTTTACCAGTGCTGTAGTCATGATCATCGGCAACTGCTACCTCTACTACCCCTTGTATACGATAGATGACGAGACATTCACAGTCTTTCCATTTCGGATCACGAGTGATATAACAGTGGTAGTACTAGCAGTAGCTGAGCTAGTTGCATCATTGCTCACCCACCACGACGTAAATTTCTTCATCCCTTACGGCGTTCGCATCATCCAGTGGTGTTTACGTTGCCGGGGGTCACAGAACCGGTTAGACACTTTAAACCACATCACCCTCGGCGTGGGCATGTGGATCATTATCCTCTTCCTCCAACTTGTCGTTTCTTCCATCATTCCTCTAGCTGTAGTTATTATCATAAACCCCGTACCTTCCCTCGCGTTTGTGGCCATAATGATCTCACTCTTCTTCTGTCTGGTGGTCTTTGTAGCCTACTTTCTGAACGCCTTCGAAGGCAACTACATCCTAAAGCACAGGTTCAGTCAAATGGAGAAAAGAAACTCAAGTGCTGGTATCCAGTTGGAAATATTCAACAAGGAATGGAGTGTGAAACCAAGGGAAAGGGTGCTTCTGTTTGTTCAGGCCATCGCATTCTTTCTGATCTTTGTAATATTTTTCGTGGGTGTGATACTCTACCTGATCTTTGTGAAGGTTGGCGGGAACACTAACACCCTGAGTGGCGTTCTCATCTCCTTTGTTCCGTCGGTTATCCTTGCTGCCATCACTTGGGCAGCCAAGAAACATCTCTTTAAGGAGCTCGAGGAAGAAGAGGAGGAGGCAGAAGACAAGGAAGAGGAAAATGGAGACAGGGATGGAGGCAAGGAAAAACCCCGTTTTCAAATTGGGGGTTTCTCGTTTCAACCACGTCGCCGCCGTCGATCGACATCGATCAAGACGAAAAGAAAGAAAACGGTAACTGGAGATGATCATGCCCCAGCCTCCGTCCATCCAGTTGATGAAGAAGGGAGCGTCAGTGCAGAGAATGTAGTAAGTCATATTCCGCCGTGATTACCATTCATAACACTGAAGGAGAGGCCAGCAGTACAGTGGCAAGTCTGTAGAACTGTAGTAGAGTAGGAATATTACGTGCAGGCAGGTTAATGTGTATTTATTATTATTTTTTTAAAATTTAGTTATTTTTTTATGAATTTATAATCATACACAATAGCCAAAAGCTAATACATGGTGTATGAAAATTAACGATTAAATATTTAGCCATTCCTTCAAGGATGATTTGAATGATGGGAGAGTTTCAGATGATCTTATATCAAGAGGTAACTTGTTCCAATGTGAGCAGGTATTAGGCACAAATGAGAAAAGATACGAGTTTGTACGGGAGAAAGGTTGTAAAAATAGACAGCAGTATGTAGACTGAAGAGAAGAGGCTCTTGGTAAAAACACATTTGGGGGGAAATCCATCAGGTGATTTACAATTTTATACATAGTACAAAGATTGATATACTTACGACGAATGTCGAGTGACGGGATATTGCAGATAAACAACAGAGAAGTGTAATCTAGGTCCCATTGCTTTACACAGAGTCTTAAAGCAAATTTCTGAACTTTTTCAAGTTTCTTAATGTCTTTAAGTAAATAAGGATTCCAAACCTCGCATGCGTATTCTAGACATGGCCGAATGAGAGATATATACAGCTGCAGAAGATTTGTAGACGATGTGTGAAGGTAGAATGTTCTGTACAGAAGACCAAGCATTTTCTTCGCTCTGGTACAAAAACCATGGATGTGCTTACTCCAGGAGAGATCAGATGTTAAAGTAACACCAAGGTATGTGTAGTGAAATACTCTAGCGATAGCCTGTCCATTAAGAAACAGAGCAGGGGGATGTATTGTATTTCTTTTCCTTGTCACAATCATAAATTTGCATTTTTCGGGGTTGAAGGTTAGAGATCTACTGGCTGACCACTGTAACAAGGAGTTTACATCTCTCTGTAGTAGCTCGAAGTCCATAGCATCATTATTGGCTTGAAGAGTAGAATGTCATCAGCATAGAGTGTAATTTTAGACCCAGGTGAAAATACCAAATCAGTAGCACCATTTACATACAACAGGAAGAGTAGTGGCCCCAGGACTGAACACTGGGGAACTCCAGAGATCGCATGAATGTCAGAGGAGGAATCTCCATTGATCACAACTTTTTGGATTCGATTGGTTAGGTAGCTACATATCCATCTCAGTAGAAAGGGGTGGACATCCATCTGCTGTAGGACTGACAAAAGACAACGATGAGGAACAGAATCGAATGCTTTTTGGAGGTCTAGAAAAATGGCACAGACCTCCTGACTTGCCTCTAAGTGTTTATGCCAGCTATCAGTGACAGAAAGCAGAGCTGAGGTAGTTGATCTCCCAGAAAGGAACCCCCACTGTGACTCAGATATTATGTTTTTCTCCATTATCTGGTCCATCAATAGGTGTTGGACATGCTTCTCTAGCAGTTTGCTTAAGATAGATAAGAGAGAGATAGGTCTGTAGTTTTTAGGGTTTGCATTATCTCCTGGCTTCGGTATAGGTACAATGTTAGACATTTTCCAGAACACAGGGAAGCAACCAGATTGAATGGATTGATTTATAAGTTTTGCAACCGAAGGTGCGATACTTCTAGCCACGGGTTTAAGCATTCTAGCAGATATCCCATCAGGACCTGAGGACTTACTAACATCAAGAGTCTCAATTTCATGCTTAATCTCTTCGACTGTACATAGAAATTCATCAGGGCATGAGTTTAGCCCAGTTGCGAATGTCAGAGGAGCAATGGAAGAATTTAAAGATTTCTTAAACGTATCAGATAGAACATCGGCCTTTTCTTTACTAGTAAAGGCTTTTTTACTGCCCTGAACTAGAACAGGAATAGAGGTTGAGCTCTTAGTCAATTGATGGACTCTTTTCCAAAACGTTTTTTGGTTCACTGTGTTCAAGTTTCCAAAAAAGTTCTTCTTTGCAGATCTCAGCAATTTTGTGAGCTTATTTCTTACTGATTTGTATTTGCTGCGAACTGTATGACTGCCATTCTTTTTCCAAGCCCTAAACAAGGAATTTTTCTTTTTTATTAATCTCATGAGTCTTTTAGTTAACCATGGCAGACGAGCACTTGAATGCGAGAGTCTGGGAATGCACTGTTCCAAAAATTGGCTTTGCCATTGTTGTACAGTAACGGAGATATCACCAGAAAACAATGAATACCAATCAAAAATGTCAATCATACGCCTTGCTTTCATATAGTCACCTTGGCTGTAGTTCCACAAAGGACGTTTATTTCCTTGACTCCTTTCAAAACACATCACCTTTACCGCCAGCTGAAGACCACTATGGTCTGAGGTCCCCAGAGGTGGAAGAGCAGAACATGTGTACAAAAATGACATTGAGGATATAAATCAAATCAATCAGAGATGAACCAGATGGGGTGTTACGAGTACTAGATTGCACAACTTGAGTAAGATTAAATGGAGATAGACAGTACATTAAATGGGTGTAAAGGAAAGAAGTAGTACAAAAATAATTTACATTGAAGTCACCAATTAGAACGAAATAATTGAATGAAGAAGGGTTAAGATTGCAAAGATTTTTAGATAGAGAGTCAAAACACTTAACAGAAGCAGAGGGAGGTCGGTAATACAGAGCAACGCAAAATTTAAGAGTAGATTTAGGAGGACAAACTGAAACAGTCAACAACTCAATATCAGTTACACTATTACATAAATCAACAGCAAAAGAAAAATGTACATACATCAACACACCTCCACCATGACGAGGTGTATTGTTTTATTAGTACAAAGCTGGGTTTTTTTGCCGTCTATATCCAAAGTTCCAAAGTTCCAAAGTTCATGTTATGAGCCCCAAGAGGGATACAACGATTATGCATACAGAAAAATAAAGTATATTATAAATGACGTGAACATCAGAAGAGATTAGAGAGAATTGGAGAGGGTAGTGGCAATCATGAGGATGTTTTCGTGAACACCTCCTTCAATGGCTTCCAGAACTCCCGCGACAGATATGTAACTGTTGCAGTGGTCGGAGCACACATGCTCAAAGTATTTGGGTTGTTGCAGATGGGACATTCTCGCTTTCTAAACACTGGTCTGCATATTACACTCGTACGTCGTGTGAGTGCGCATGCGCGGCTTCTTTCATTTCCAAAGTTTTACACATTTTCACATGCCTCGCGATATGCGCCGATCGATCTAGCCAGCCAGAGAACTCTCCTCCATTCGACGGCATGCGCTGCAACCTTCGGTGACTGACCGAGGCTGTACCGCTTCCCAATCTTCATGGTTCGTGCAACTTGGAGGATTGCTCGTGCAGATACTGATGCATGCCAGCTGCCTGGTGGACCACGACTGACGAGCTGAAAGCATAAGGTAAGTACCATTCTGCTCACGTGCTCACCGTTCTGGCAATATACAGTATGCATGTAAGTAACGGCGACAGGTACATCTGTCTTGCTTCACGAAAGGAAAGCTGTGCGCTGACGGCACGTTATGCAGCCCGAACATCGTGGGCAAATCCCCAAGTTGCGTCGCTCCCCCGCTCGCCAGCAATGGACAGCTTCTAATATCACTGTCCAATTTGTCTTACAACAACACCATATCAGTAGTAGATGCCAAGATACGGAACAACACAGTTGGAAGTTATGAAGTAGGAGGTGGGCTACAGATTATCTACTCTCTCTGTTCCATTGTAACAATTCCTGCAAATGCTCATATTAGTAGAGTCAACGTCATGTCCTGCAACTTTGAGGTATATTCCAGAGGAGGTGTCTATATCTACCTGTCAACTGGTGATGGCAAGAGAGCTGTCCACTTCATTAACTGTTCATGGACTGGGAACACTGCGTCGCGATATGGGGCAGCAGTCCACATAATGGCTGGAGTGTTTGTATCTGGGGCTAGAGGCCGCTATCGTACTATTGTCTTTACCAACTGTACTATCTCATCTAACCTACTGGTGCCGGCAACATTTCCGGGAGAGAACCTACGTTTGCAGATTAATGGATGGGATGCTTTCTTCTGCAATGGTGCATGCACAATCCATTGTAATCAGACAGAGAACGTATTTGATTGCTTTACTTTCAACAACCCTCGAGTCAATACTACTGCCACCCTCCCAACAAAATTTGGTCTCTTGAAAGAACCTGTCTTACTCTTCCCTGGAATACCCTCCCAACTCCCACTTGTTGCAAATGACTCAGAGGGAAACAAAGCACCAAATGTATCCTACCAAGCCAGCATGGCTGGTGGCTAATAATGTGACTATTGACCCTGCATATGAGTGTATGTATCTGCCAACACCATCAGTGTCTTGGGGGAACCTGGAGAGAATAGTACCCTGCATTTGGCTGCTCTATCGACAGATATTTCCATACTAGTGGATATTATTCTCGAGAAGTGTCATCCTGGCTACGTAATGAGGGACAAAACATGCATCTGCAGTGCATCAACCTACTATGGACTGCTGAAATGTGATCCAGAAGCATACATCCGCTATGGAGTGTGGATGGGAGAATGTGACAATCCAACTTTGTGCGCAGCTAATTGTCCCATTGGATTCTGCTCTTACAATGCAAGTGAAAAAACAAGGCCACTGTTTCGTTCACTCCCCATGGAGGTAGAAGAGTTGGAAGAGGCTGTTTCCTCACACACAAGGACTTGCACCATATGTGGTAGCTGCATTGCCAATCACTCTGTGTACTACAACTCATGGTACTACCATTGTGGCAATGAAGACAACTGTTCTCTCGGTCCACTTTACTTTATCCTCTCGACAATCGCCCCACTAACATGCCTGTTTCTGGTGATAACCTGCTGGATGCGAACTTTGCCAGTGACTGGAATGGGTTCCTACTCTTTACCCAAGTTGTACATAACTCTTATGTCTATGGACGAGGAACTATTCGTTTGCCACATACCCAATTTCAGATTCTTGGATGGCTCATGTACATATATGGCATCTTCAACTTGGAGTTCTTTCAAACTAATGAAACAGCCTTTTGCATATGGAAGGGTGCTAATGTCATGGACATAATGATGGTCAAGCTTGGTTCCATCTGCTTTGCTCTCAGTCTTGTACTGCTCACCGTGTGCGTGCTGAAACAACGTCGAATCGTCAAACATCTTCCACTCATCATTAAACGGCGCTACTCAGTAGTAAACAGTATATCTG